AGGCCCATAGGAAGTAGGAGCTAGAGCACATCAGAGATGTTAGCAAGTGTCACCTGACAAGCACCAATTTAGGAGTACATGGAGCTTAAGTGAGGAGATCTGGAAACTGTGTTAGACCCTCCCCTGACCTCTTTGCCCTGTGGCCCCTTCTTTCCATTTTCATGCACCCACCACACTGAGCTTTCATGACCACCCACCTCCGAGAAGAACCTTCAAAGCCTAGGACCCTCAAGGAGTATTCATAGTTATTATTCATAACCTATGGGCCAATTTCCCATCCCAATTGAATAAACCATAGCCATATATGGCGCTAGAACGAGGTCACTTTAATTTTTTTTTTTTTCTGTATGAAATTGGAAATGCAACAGGAAGGAATCGGACACAGGACGCAGGACACAGACCCTGGGGGCCTGCTCTTGGTGGTATTAAGAAGAAGAGCGGGTCATGGGGAAGGCTGGAGAGAGGAAAGACGTGGCTGGGACTGGGTGGGATCGTCAGGGGATAGAGGGTGTTGACAAAGGACATCCAGGAACCCAGCAGTTGGGGAGGGGCACTGCCCCAGAGGACCAGGAGTTCAGGACAGGTGATCTGAGGAAGGGATATGGGTGTGGTGAGTAAGGGGGCAGGGTTCCCACACACACCTGGAGTTGGAGAAGGGGCAAGAGAAGGAGAGGAGTGACCAGGAAGGGAGCCAGAGAGACCCAGCTATTACAGCTGGGAGCCCCCCTCCATCTACTCCAAAGTGCACAACTCGGCAATAAATAGTAATATTTATAAATAAATAAATAAATAGATAAATAAATAAATACATAAATAAATATCCTTGTAGAGCTAGGAGTTTGCTACGAGGGTGGAGAGATCATAGAAATGCAATAAATTCATTTCTTCTAGACAGGTTCTAAGGTCCTTCCTTCTGCTGGCCCAGGGCTGTGATGAGTGAGTGGGGCTCAGCACCATGGGGTGGGGGAGCCATGAGATGGGGTGGGGGTGTCTCTTCTTTTGCAATGGCAGCTTAAAGAAACAGGAAAAAAAAATATAGTAAATAGGCCCTAAGACCAGGAGCAGCCCTGGAGGGCAATAATAGGGCATCCCCTATGAGGAGACAGCATGGGTTCTGCCATCCTCAGGGTGGGCTGGGGATGAAGGAGAATGGCTGTCAGGGCTGCCCCACCCACCCATGGCCTGGGCCTTCTATAGGTACCTCATGCTATTTGGAGATGTCACCCCTATCCCAGGATTGAGGTTTTTCCTTTTTTTTTTTTTTTCCTTCAGTGGCACATAGGGAGAAATTTGGAATAGTAGGGGGCAGGGAGACAGCCAAATAACTCAGCGAGGGCAAGGCATTCACTGCTGAGCTGAGGCCTGTATGTGCTGAGCCTCAGGAATGAGATGGACCAAAGAAAAGCAAAAAAGTTTTCTATTGTTCCTGGCTACTGAGATTTCCCCTTTCATGTGTCACCTCCTATCTCCCAAGAGCCCTCCTCTCCCGCAAGCATACTGAAGAAGCCCCTTCCTGACTCCAGCCCCAGCTGTACACCCTTCCCGTGCTGATGCCACATCCGCACCCTGGGCTAGAACAGATGGAAGAGAGTCCGGGTCTGGAGCCTGAAAATCTGGTCATAGGGGTAGAAAAAGCAGCACCCAGGGTTTAGGAAATCCAGCAGGGCCCTGTTCTGATCACTCTAGTGAATGATTCTGACCAGATTCTGACCCTAACAGCCACAGCAAGCCCCTGAAGGGACCCATGAGAACAGCCATCAGGGTGCCCAGGTCAGTAAAGGAAAGTGGCCTTCAGGACCAGCGGTGGGCACTGTCTGGGCCTGGTGCCTTTGGGATGGGGAGGAGAAGGCCACTCCGAGCAATGAGCAGTAGAAGGGACTCTAGAGAGGCCCCAGAAGGAGGGGAGAGTCCGGGGCTGGAGGCAGGCTGAGTTCAGACGTCCAGCACGTGGTTCAGGTAGGAGATGTAGCAGATGGCGAGGCGCAGAATCTCAATCTTGGAGAGCTTCTTGTCCGGGGGCAGCGTGGGCAGCAGCTTCCGCAGCTCAGCGAAGGCCAAGTTGAAGGCCTCCACGCGGATGCGCTCCCGCGTGGCATGCGCCGTGCGGTACTTGGCGGTGGCCCTGCGCCGTCGCCTGCGCTCCTCCCGGCTGAGGTGCTGCAGGTCTTTCCGGCCAGGCTCTCCGGGCTCTGACCCCCGGGCCTGGCCCCCGGCCGGACACCCCGGCCCAGCACTCTCGGGGCCTGCCCCACCCCCACAGTCGCTGAAGCCGGACTCGGCCTCGGAGTGAGTGGGAGGCAGGTCCAACTCCACGGTGTCTGAGTTGAGCATCATGATGGTAGCCCCGGGTCCAGTGAGATGGTGATCCCCTCCCCACCCCTCCCTCTTGGAGCTTGAAAGCTGGCGGTGGGAGGGGCAGGAAGGGCCTGGGGTGTTGGGGTCTGCCACTGAGCTCTGGAAATCAGAGCCACTTCAGGGTTCCATGGTCAGGGTTCCAGAATGGAGCCTGAAACAGAAAGGTCAGAGTCAGGGAAGTGGGGGTGCAGAAGGAACTGTGCCTGTGGGGGAAGAACCGCAGAACTGGGCAGGGCCAGAGAGAGACAGACGGGTGGACACGGTGGAAAGCAGCAGAGAAGGAAAATAGGAAGAAGGAAAGAGGATCCAATCTGGAACTGGAAGAGGAAAGTCAAAATGACGGAAAGCAAACCAAAGGAGGGCTAAAAGTGAGCAAGAAGATTTAAGAGCTAAAAACTGCAGAACGGCTAGACGAAAATGTCAGGGGAAAGTTTCATGACATGGGACTTGACAATGATTTCTCGGATAGAATACCAAAAGCCTAGACAATCAGAGCACAAAAAAAATAAATGGGATTACATCAAACTTAACCTGGTACATTAAAGTACACAGTCAACAGAGTGTAATCTGTGGAATGAGAGAAAATATTCTCACATCATATCGGTGACCAAGGGTTAAATCCAGAACATATGTCCTGCATCTCAACAACAAAACTATCAAATAACCTCATTAAAAAAATGGGCAAAGAGGGCTGGGATTGTAGCTCAGTGGTAGAGCGCTTGCCTTGCCTGTGTGAGGCACCGGGTTCAGTCCTCAGCACCACATAAAAATAAATAAATAAAATACAGATATTGGGTCCATCTACAATTAAAAAAGATTTTTTACAAAAAAAAAAAATAGGCAAAAAAAATAACTAATCAATTTCTCCAAAGATGATCTATAAATAACCATGCATGTGAAAAGATACCAAACATCTTTAATTACTAGAAATGCAAATCAAAACCACAATAAGACATCAACTCACACCCACTAGGGATGGCTACTATATAAATAGGATAAAAAGGGGATGTGGCTCAGCCACAGTGCACTTGCCTAATATGCAGGAGGCCCTGCAAAAAAAAGAAAAAGAAAAAAAGAAAAGAAACCCAAGATCAACTCTAAAACAAAATTGGTCTTGGCAAGAATGGGAAAAATGGGAAGTTTTATGCCCTGTTGGTGAGACTGTAAAATGGCACAATTGCTATGGCAAACAGAATGAATGTTCCTCAAAAAATGAAAAATGAAACCACCATATAATTCATCACTTCCATTTCTGGGGAGAT